AGGGAGTCAGTAATTTACCTGGTTAAAGAAAAACGAGTGGAGTAAGTTCTTGGAACTGTGTGTGCTTAATGCATTATTGAAAGCTTTGTGGTACATAAAGACGTTACTCAGTCAAATTGCAATTAATTTAAAACACCCTTCCTTAAAGCTTTAGCGCAAAAAAAAAAGAAAAGGGTGGGGGCAGAAAAAGGAAGACTTTTTTTTTCTTCCAAATAAAATTAATAGTTATTAGTGATAAAAGCCTTTCTCCAGAAAAAGATCACTCCCTTTTAAAAGGGCAAATTTTTAAATGTCAGTGTCTAATAATACTAGTAAATGGCATCCGTATTTAATTTAGCTTGACCAGTTTTTTGAGTAGTGTTTTCTGTAAATGTACATGTATTAGAAAAATGCTTTGTCAGTTCAGAGCTTGTCTCCTTGTAGCTGTAACTAAGAGATCCCCAAATGGTTTTGAGATGTTTTCATAAATATGTACAGTTTATGAAAACAGTACTTATTTACTGTTTAGTGTCATTTATATACAATATGTGGACATTGAGATTTTTGTATTATGTTTTGTTGACTCAGGAATCTAATTAAAATACTGCGTAATATATTAGCCTGAAAGAAAAACTGAATATGGTAGTTTCGTTCATATTAGGGGTTTTTTTTTGGCGGGATGGGGAGTTATTCTATAAGTTGCATTGAGTTCTGGGGTATCATTTGTTTAGAAAACCTTGAGAATTGGTTTCTTCTCAAGAAAGTGTGGAATACAGGAAAGACCAGCTTTTGGAGTGTGGTCAAACAAGATTTGACTATTGGCCCTGCCATTTTCTAGCAGTGGAATTCCAGGCAAATTATTTAATCTTTTTGAACAGAGTTCTTTATCTTCTTAAAGTGGGATAATAATTTCAACTTCATAGGGTTTGGAAATAATTAAATGAGATGGCAAAAAGTCAAAGCACTTATTTAATACAATACTGTACATTGTAGTCATTCAATAAGTGCTCCATTTATCAATGAAATTTTATGTCTTTTGCAATTCACCTGTGAAATGTTAGAATGATTTTCAACAGCTTTGAACATAGTTACGTTAATTTTTTTTTTGACTGGAGGAAGAAAATGATTGGGTGGGACCAGGACATTATAGATGCACATTACATAAAGCTTTATTATTAGGACACTGTAAAACTGTTATTGAAGGTTATTCAGAAATAACTTAGTACTGTAATTTACACAAGAAAATATTTTATTGGTACAGTCCATTTAAAATTAAAATGTACTCTTTGAGAATTAGGTTTCAAAAATCAGGAACATTTAGGTTCTTTCACATAAACTATCATATAACTTTGAGATACTGTATGTTTTCTTTTGAATTTTAATTTAATTTTGGCCTCACATTTATAGACTTGAATATCTTAATCATTCTACTAGATATTGCACTCATTTATCTGATAATTAGATACCTAGCAATCTCAGTTATATGGAACCTTGTATTTAAAAGAAGATGGCTTAAAGCCACCTTTATAATTGAATATGAAATGAAGAATAGTGGCTTCCTAATAATGCTTCCCTAGATTAGACATAGTGAAGAGCATGTAATGGAGGAGACCACTAGAAACTTTTACTTTGAAACAACTATTCTGAGGAAGAAGTTCCATTTTATTTTATCTTATTCACATCCTTTAATTATGTATATCACATGTAAATTATTCAATATGGAAAAAAAACAGTCAAGCAATGTATTTGAAGCAGTAATGGAAAATTCTTCTTTACCCCCAATCTCCCTTACCACCAGTTGCACTTTGATCTCATTTTCCTAATAGTAAACGCTATTAACAGAATAGCACGTGTCTGTCTACAGCTTACTCTGTGCTGTCATATCGCAGTGTTTGTTTCAACGTACATGGATTTATACATATTCTGCATCTTTTTTCCCGGTTATTATCTTGGTGATCTTTTTGATGTATTGTAAATCTACTTCAGTATATTTAACAGTTATTTGGTATTCCAAAGGATGATTATTCCACAGTTAACCATTCCTCTGCCAATGCTCTCCAGACATTGATGCCAGGTACACATCTATAGTTGAACACATTGGATTTATTACTTTTTGCAGCAGAGGAGAATGCATACCATGTGGAACCATAGGGTATCTCAGAAGATGTTAGAAAGGACTTATTGTAGGATTGAGCTTATATTAGATGATTTGGGGGGAGGATTTAAGAGACTGGGGCTTTGCTCTGGATTGGATACTGTCAGGAAACTGGATAATTCCATGATGGATATCTTAATAAGTCTTATCCAGAAGGAGGGAAGAAGACTGGGCCAAGGCTCAAGCTGTGGTTAGTAATAGTGGCATGGATTAGGGTCCTGTTTGTAGCTTTGGCAATGTACATGTTTTATCTGTGTTCAGGTACCATTACAGGGTGATGCTGTTTTTGTCTTGTTCTGTTATGGTGACAGAGGTCACACAGCGGCCTTGTCTGATGACAGTGTTCTGTGAAGTTGTTTATATTCATCAGGAGAACATAGCTGTTAGTGTCACCAGCTCATAGCAAAACCAAGGCCTAGCTGATACTACCAGGCTAGCACTGGGATGCCAAGGGCTGCTATTTTCTTACTTACTGTTGATAAACAGCTAGGTTGTATCTTAGTTTTTATTGACACAACTTTTCATTTTCATCGTTAAAATAAACATTCTCGTTATATGGATCTTAGTGTACATGTGCAAGTATTCTTATAATATAAATTCCTAGAAGTGGAATTATATTAAATGGTATATAATGCATCATAAAATTTGATTTATAATCATTGCTGAAAGCCTATACTTATTTCTGTTCCCACCAACAGGGCACCTTAGCCAAGAATAGACATTAACAGTCTGAGATTTTTTTTTTCTGGCTAATAGAGATATCTTATTATTTTAATCATATATTTTTTTTACTAGTGAGTTTGAGCATTTTGCTCATTTTTTTAAAGCAATAGTTTTCCTGTTCATATTCTTTTCCCATTAAAAAAATTTTAATAACCTTGTCTTTCTTGTTGAGTTTTAAGGGTACTTCGTATGTTATAGATATTTGTACTGCTTTATATTTGTGGCAAGTATTTCTCTCCCTACCTCCTATATGTCTTTTATTTACATAGGAAGGCTTTCTCCACCTTGAGATTATTAAAACATTATTAATCTTCTAGCACAGTTATTTTACTTTTCCCTTAAGACATTTATTTTATTAATCTATCTGGAGTAAGGAATATTTTTGTGTAATTTTTTCCCTAAAGATCCCTAGTGTTCCACTATCATTTGTTGACCAGTCCATTTCCTTCACAATAATTGGAAATACCACATCATGTTCTAAATGCCTACGTAGACATCAGCCTGCAGTAAAATTTCTCTTACTTGCCCTTCACTTAACTAACTGGGTTAACTGATATTCTCTATTCTCTTTGAATAACATACTGACTCAAGACCACGGTAAGCTTAATGTTTATTGCCAGTAGGCTACTCAGTACTATGCTGTTACAATTCTGTTTCTGTTAGTTTAGCTTTACATCACTAATACCGAGATTTTGTCATTCTAAAAACTTTATGCCAGCTGTGTTTGTCGTTGCATTTTCATTATTTAATGCAATATTATGTAAATCAGTAAAATATGAGTACAGAAAGAAGGAAAGTTGCTGTTTTAAAGAAAATTGCATGCTTTAGAAAGAAACAGTGGGTCACTAAAAAACTTGAGGCTAATAAGGACATAGTTTACTTAAATTTTTTTAATATGTACATATATTGACCTAAACAGTTCTAGGAGTAGAGAATGAAATACATGAATCAAGGATTATTTTTGTACTGCAGGAAAACCTGTTAACTAAAAACTAAAACAACAATAAAAAATTAATTGAGGGCTTCCCTGGTGGCGCAGTGGTTAAGAATCTGCCTGCCAATGCAGGGGACACGGGTTCGAGCCCTGGTGCGGGAAGATGGCACATGCCGTGGAGCAACTAGGCCCGTGAGCCACAACTACTGAGCCTGCGCGTCTGGAACCTGTGCTCCACAACGGGAGAGGCCGTGATAGTGAGAGACCCGCACACCGCGATGAAGAGTGGCCCCCGCTTGCCACAACTAGAGAAAGCCCTCGCACAGAAACGAAGACCCAACACAGCCAAAACTAAACGAATTAATTAATTTTTAAAAAATTAATTGAATTGAATACAGTTTGGTGTATGAGAGGAAGTTTATTTTCTCAGTTGTAGCCCTTTTTATATATTTTCTTGTAAAACATTTTAATGATGTGTAATCCATCTTACAACTTTATATTGTAAGGACATATACATGATAAAAATGTGTCAACAAAAACCCAAGCTGTTAATAACATAATACAGCATTTTCATACCACAGGAATGTCCGTGTAGGCGTTTAGAACATGATGCAGTATTTCCAATTAGTTAAAAATACTGATCATTAATTTTAAACTTAGAAGAATGAAGACTAGATTACTGCATTGTATTAGTTTTCTGCCATATTGCTATGTAACAACTTACTTCAGAGCTTAGTGACTTGAAACAAATGTTTGTCATCTCACAGTTTCAGTGAGAAATCAGAGTGGCTTAGCTGGGTGGTTCTGTTCCAGGGTTTCTCAAGAGAATGTAGCCAAGGTGTCAGCCAAGACTGCAGTGATCTGAAGGCTTTACTAGGGCTAAAGTGTACACTCCCAAAATGATTCACTCACAGGGTGCTGGTTTTTGTCAGGAGCCCTCACTTCCTCCTCATGTGTGTCTGCCATGTGCAATCCAAGAGAAAGCAAGATAGAAGATGTAAAGTCTTTTATGACCGAGTCCGAGAAGTCACATACCGTCGCTTTTATTTCTTCGAAGTGAGTCAGTGGGACAGCTCACACTGAAAGGCAGGGAAATTAGGCACCTACTCTTGAAGAGGAGCGTAACCAGTGCACTGAAGATATTTATTCTGTGTGTGTATGGGTCACGGAGAGGGCGGGATTCATTTATAATGTTTTGCTTCTTTTTAGGACACTGCCTTAGGAAAACCACGAGAGGTGTTTCGACTTCCTACAGATTTGATAGCATATGACAATCGCCTTTGCGCATCCATGCATTTCACATCTTCTACTTGGGTTACCTTGTCAGATGGAACTGGAAGATTGTATCTCATTGGAACGGGTGAACGTGGAAATAGTGCTTCTGAAAAATGGGAGGTGAGGTTTTTTTTTTTTCTTTAGACTTAGCAAAGTCTGGAAAGTATATTCAAATTAGATCTTAATGATTTTGAAATAACACTTTTTTAGGGATAGTTTACATGTGACCTCTTGATTTTTATAATATATAATGTTTTGGATATCTTTTTAAGTTAAATTATAAAATGTATACCTTTTATGAAACTGATATATTAGCTATTCCTGTTTTGATCTGGGGTGCGTGCAGTTGTCAAGAATTGCATTTGCTTTTCAGCAAATACCTATTGAGTGTTTTATAAGTGTAAAGCAGTACACTAAGCAATGATGCTGCCACCTTCTTCTTCTTGAAGAGTTGGCCAGAAAATTGCATTGTCATGTCTTTTCTCCTCTACTCTTGTTTTATTTGCTGGTATGTTTAAGGGCCCAGCACACTGCTGCACCACTCTGCTAACTGTCTGGTATGTTTAAACTGGTCAAATAGTAACTATACCAGAGTATTCCCAACGTAGAAAAATATACTGTAGAATAAATAACTATAGTTACGTACCAGTCTCCAAGATGTCATTTTTACTTCAGTTTTTTAAAAACAATGTAACAGACTTAAATCTGAGGGGCAGGTGTTAGGATTTTAATAGTAATAAATATGGAATTATTTTCTCTAGAGCCACAGTTTTTGAAGGTAGAGAAGAATGACACTGAGTTGTGCTAATAAGTACAATGTGATATTGCTACTGTCTAAATCTCAGCAGGTGGCCTTTCGTTCTGGGTAGCTAAAGCGATATGAATTTAATATTTTACATCTTATAAAATATTTTTATCAGACCAATAGGTGCCTACAAAGACCAGGCTTTAATTATTTGAGAAAAACCAAGAAGGCCTTAGTGGTTTACCTTTCTTACTAAGTTATACCAAATGCTATACTTCCAAATTGTAGTATGTTCAAAAAACTAAACAAAAAACACAGTAAATTATCAGAACAACAATAGCCTGTTTATAGGGGGCCTTTGTAGTCACAGTTTCAAATAGTTATTGGACATTGTGACATTTTCTGTTCTGGCCTCCAGTAATAACTTTTTTTTTTTTTTTTTTCCTTGCTGAGGCAATGTGGTATATAGCACAGCTACCTGAAATAGTTGGAAGGAATTTGGAGAATGATGGGCAGGAGAGATATGAATGAGAATTTATCTGTTATCAAGCCGTGTGGATTCTGTTGGTTTTCAGTAGTAAGAAACACACTGACCTTGTTCACCTTCAGATTAAAAATAACACCACATATTCCACCAGAAGGAAATTCATATGGGTTTATATTTCATTTGGTTTTTGCTGTGTATATCTCCTTGGCACATATTAGGCCTTCAATAATATTTTGTAAATGAATTCAAAATTTAAATTCACTCCACATCCTCTTCAGTATTTGTACTATCATAATGAAATCAACACTCTCTGGGGAGGTGGGGGGAGTGGGAAAGGGATGGGACTTGGGCATTACTGAGGTGGGAGGAATACTGAGGGATATTGGTCGCTTTGAGAGAAATAACTCAGTAGAGTTTCGAGACTTTGGGGGAATTCGTGTAAGAGAGGAGGCTAAAAGTGAGCGTGACGGGGGCATGGTAGGGCCTAAGGGGGCCAAGCAGGCGTGGTGGTGATGACTCAAATGTAGAAAGAGAAATAAAAGAAGGCAAGGAAGACTGCCTGTTTCCAAATGTGTGGCCTCTAATGTGATGGGGGTGCTATATATCAACAATATCACAGTTGATTTGCTAGGTTTGTTCAGAAGACTGGAAACTTCAGCCTAAGAATTTTTAAGAGTCCAGACATCTACTCCTGTGGTCTCATGAGAGAGAAAGAAGAGAAGGAAATAGTAAACTGGCTACTTGTGCTTGGCAGAACTTTCAATTTTTTCTCCCTGTGGTTTATTTCTTGTCCCCCAAACAAAAGCAGAACCCAGTCAACCAACTATAAAAAACCATGTCTGTCATCTCTGTTTTGAGTATTTGAGGTGTTTTTGGTTTTTTATCCCTGCTTATGGAAGACTTTAGAATGGATTTCAAAGCTCTACTATTCGAATAATTTTGGCAGAGTTGCTCAAACATAAAGAGAAAATGATGACGTTAAAGCACACTTTTTTTAAAATTTTCTTTTACTTTTTTTTTTGCGGTACGCGGGCCTCTCACTGCTGTGGCCTCTCCCGTTGCGGAGCACAGGCTCCGGACGTGCAGGCCCAGTGGCCATGGCTCATGGGCCCAGCCGCTCCGCAGCACGTGAGATCCTCCCGGACCAGGGCACGAGCCCGTGTCCCCTGCATCGGCAGGCGGACTCTCAACCACTGCACCACCAGGGAAGCCTTTCTTTTATTTTTTATTGAAGTATAGTTAACTTACAATGTTTTGTTAGTTTCTGGTATACAGCAAAGTGATTCAGTTTTACATATATATATTCTTTTTCATATTCTTTTCCATTATAGTTTATTACAAGATACTGAATATGTTCCCTATGCTATACAGTAGGATCTTGTTGTTTATCTGTTTTATATATAGTAGTTTGAATCTGCTAATCCCAAACTCCTAATTTATCCCTCTTCCCCTTTGGTAGCCGTAAGTTTGTTTTCTGAGTCTGAGTCTGTTTCTGTTTTGTAAGTTCATCTGTATCATATTTTAGATTCCACATATAAGTGATGTCATATGGTATTTGTCTGACTTACTTCACTTAGTATGATATTCTCTAGGTCCATCCATGTTGCTGCAGATGGCATTATTTCATTCTTTTTTATGGCTGAGTAGTATTCCATTGTAGGTATACCACATCTTCTTTATCCATTCATCTGTCAATTGACATTTAGATTGCTTCCATGTCTTGGCTATTGTAAATAGTGCTGCTGTGAACATTGGGGTAAAGCACATTTTTCTTTATAAGGCTTTCAGGTAGGAGCTGATATGAGGGGATTCCAGATAATGGGTTTAAAAAGAATAAAAAAGCTAATTTTTGTCTCAGATTAGTATTCAGCTATTTATTTTTTCATTTATTTGAAAAGCTTGTTTAGAAATTAGTCTTAAAACCTCTCCTATTTGGTATTTAATAAAAATATAATAGTCTTTTAGATTATGTGTTTGTCTTATAAAAAGAATTTGATAAGATTTTGTGTGTCTTTGCATAATGCTTTGATTCGCTTTTTAAAAAGGAGCTTCAGTATTTAAATAGAGTTGGTGGAATTATACCTTTTAAATGTAAGTGGGCTCTTTTGTTTTTGAAGAACAAGAAAGTTTTTGTGATTTGTTCTCTAATTCCTTTGACTCTTACCTTTGTAAATTTCCAGAAAACAAAGACAAACAAACCAAACCAAAAACAAAAGGAAAAAGCATACACACACCCACTCACAAATACACACGAACTGTATTCAGAAACTAAGAGGAAGAAAGCAGAAATAAATCAGAGATGAGACAGGGGAAGAGATGCAGTAATGCATGTTGACTTGCTCATGTCCTGTACAGAACATTCTTTAAATTTGACAGTTCTTTTCTAGAAGATTGCTTTTAATTCCCTTTCTCCTTTAGATGCTGTTTGGATGCCCTGTTGTTTTCTTTGTTTTTAAGCCAAGAGTACTGATCAGTTTTTTCTGTTAAACAATTAGGTATTTTCCAAAAGTTCTTTCTTCAAGCAATATGATTTAAACTTGTACGCTTTATTTAAGGGCTTTTTTCATTTTTGTATCCTTGTAGTAAATATGGATGGTATCCGAGTTATTTGTTGGATTGTCAGAATTCTGTATATTTCCTCTGTGCCGTATACATTCATCTAATACATTTTTGTGAGTGGCATCTTTTTTCTTTTTTGTAGATTATGTTTAATGAAGAGCTTGGAAATCCTTTTATCATAATTCACAGTATCTCATTGCTGAAAGCTGAAGAACATTCGATAGCTACCCTGCTTCTTCGAATAGAGAAAGAGGAATTGGATATGAAAGGAAGTGGTTTCTATGTTTCCTTGGAGTGGGTCACTATTAATAAGAAAAGTAAAGGTAAAACAACAAAAATCTGATCTCTCTGTAGTGGTTGCCGTAATTTAGTAGGTTTTGAAATGCAAAGAAGTTCCTGTAAATGCTATTTGCTTTTTCTTAGGCACTGTGTTATGATTCTGGTACCTGCCACCCGGTGGAATGAATATTTATACATAGTTTCTCCTTAGGTATGGATTATAAAAAAATAATAATGTGTTTCCATAGTCAGATGTGCCTTTTTGTGTAAAAGGAGACACTATTACATAATTTTGGAATAATTTAAGTGTATATTTTTAATATATACAAAAGTATATGTTAATATGTGTATGTGTATGTACACACACACACACACACACACACACACAGACACAAGATTTGTTCTTCGAAATATTTAATGTAATTTGTTTTTTCTTTCCAGTGTTGTAGTTTTATCTCTGGAGGAACACAGTAACTGAAAACTTTAGATTACGTGTTAGAAAGTTTCTGTAAAGGGCTAGATGGTAACCATTTGACTTATATCATAACTACTCAACTATGATGTTGTGGTGCAAGAGCAGCCATAGATGAATGCATAAATGAATGAGTAAGGCTGTATTCTGGTGTTTATGGACACTGACATTTGAATTTTATAAAATTTTTACATGTATTTAAATATTCTTTTGATTTTTTGTGATTTAAAAATATAAAATTCATTCTTTGGCTCACAACTTTCTTTTCTTAATATCTCAGTTCCTCTTGTCCCTGAATTACTAACATAATTGTGTTACTTTTTATTTTCCCTGAACATTACAGAGCAGTGTTATATTTCTAAACTCTTTTGAGTGGAACATTTGATGTTATATTTTATGGTCAAGTAAGTTTGAAAATGTGGGCATACGATATCTCCATTTCACATTAAGCATATTCAAGTTTCTAGAAATTTTGAGTAGAAAAAATTTAATTTTGACCCAGCATTTCCCAACTCATTTAGCCATGGAATAATTCACTTGAGACCTACTGTTTTCTGTCCCACACATGTTGGGAAAAACCATCCAGTAAAATATACAGTGTCTAAGTTTGGGTCTTTAGAGGAAGCTAGGACTCTTTGCTGTGCATGTACCTGTGGAGGAAAAATAGGAGTTTTTATTTCATTCATGAAATGAAAAGTCTATTCCTAAATATGTATGAAGTGAATGTGTGAATGTAGGTGAGGATTTAGAGAAAAAACACTGACAGATGTTTTAGAACAAATTGTATTATTATGTATGTATATGTGTTACTATGTGTAACTCATGACATTGAGTTATGATTTTTGACTGTTCATTATGAAGCTTACAAGCACTACCCACTGTAATAAAAATTTGTTACCCACAGTAACAATATAAGTAAAGGTACGGACTCAACTGAAATGTTTGGGTACTTTTTAAAGCAAAAAACAAAGACAAAAACCCCTTATTTTCATAGAATAAATTCAGTTAATTTACCAGAAACTCAGAATACAGTTAATTGTTTATATCTTAAAAATTCCAAGTACAGTTATTTATATTTGGTTATAGTAGGCAGATAGATCTATATCTGAGTGTGTATAAAAATCATTTCTGCCATAAACATATTTCATTTAAAAAAAGACCCTTATCAGTAGCTAGAATGGGAAGAAAATAGTCCACACCACACTTTTTCTGGTATCATCAGTTTGTAGCTTTTTTCAGAAGACACTTATCATATACTGGCTGAGAAAGTAGACAGGCTGTAGTCAAGGAACGGGTAGTTTTTTTCAGAGGTTGATGTTTCAGGTAAGGCAGTCACTTTTATGATTTAGAGCACTGCTCTCCAATAGAAATTTTTCCAAAATGGATGTGTTTATATGTGAGCCACTCAATGTGATAGCAGGTAGCCATGTGTGGCTTTTGAGCACTTGAAGTGTGGCTAGTGTGACTGAGGCATTGAATTTCAAATTTTACTTAATTTTAATTAAATAGCTACTCTGGCCAGTGGCTACCACTTGGACACCACAATCTAGAACAAATTTCATCAGACCCAGTATTTTTTTTTTAACATCTTTATTGGAGTATAATTGCTTTACAATGGTGTGTTAATTTCTGCTTTATATCAAAGTGAATCAGCTATACATATACATATATCCCCATATCTCCTCCCTCTTGCATCTCCCTCCCACCCTCTAGGTGGTCACAAAGCACCAAGCTGATCTCCCTGTGCTACACGGCTGCTTCCCACTAGCTATCGGTTTTACATTTGGTATTATATATATGTCCATGCCACTCTCTAACTTCATCCCAGCTTACCCTTCGCCCTCCCCATGTCCTCAAGTCCAGTCTCTATGTCTGCATCTTTATTCCTGTCCTGCCCCTAGGTTCATGAGAACCATTTACTTTTTATTCCATATATATGTGTTAGCATACAATATTTGTTTTTCTCTTTCTGACTTATTTCACGCGGTATGACAGACTTTAGGTCCATCGACCTCACTACAAATAACTCAGTTTCGTTTCTTTTTATGGCTGAGTAATATTCCATTGTATATATGTGCCACATCTTCTTTATCCATTCATCTGTCAGTGGACACTTAGGTTGCTTCCATGTCCTGGCTGTTGTAAACAGAGCTGCAGTGAACATTGTGGTACATGCCTCTTTTTGAATTATGGTTTTCTCAGGGTATATGCCCAGTAGTGGGATTGCTGGGTCGTATGGTAGTTCTATTTTTAGTTTTTTAAGGGACCTCCATACTGTTCTCCATAGTGGCTGTATCAATTTTACAGTCCCACCAGCAGTGCAAGAGGGTTCCCTTTTCTCTACACCCTCTCCAGCATTTATTGTTTGTAGATTTTTTGATGATGGCCATTCTGACTGGTGTGAGGTGATACCTCATTGTAGCTTTGATTTGCATTTCTCTAATGATTAGTGATGTTGAGCATCCTTTCATATGTTTGTTGGCAGTCTGTATATCTTCTTTGGAAAAATGTCTGTTTAGGTCTTCTGCCCATTTTTTGATTGGGTTGTTTGTTTTTTTAATATTGAGCTGCATGAGCTGGTAAATTTTGGAGATTAATCCTTTGTCAGTTGTTTCATTAGCAAATATTTTCTCCCATTCTGAGGGTTGTCTTTTCATCTTGTTGATGGTTTCCTTTGCTGTGCAAAAGCTTTTAAGTTTCATTAGGTCCCATTTGTTTATTTTTGTTTTTATTTCCATTTCTCTAGGAGGTGCAGACCCAGTATTTTAAAATAGGGATTTATTTACAGAATATTAGGTTGTAAGTTTTTTTATCCTTTTTAAAAAAGATACCTAATAGTGTGCTTTTTAATAGTACATTTAAAATATTTAGTTTAAATTAGAATTAATATACAAATATATTCAAATATTTTTATTATATAGTTTTTTATTTGTAATTTTTTTGTTCTAAAATGCTTTATTTTCTTACAGATAAAAAAAAATATGAAATTACTAAGCGTAATATTCTCCGTGGAAAGTCAGTGCCCCATTATGCCGCTATTGAGCCCAATGGGAATGGTCTAATGATTGTCTCTTACAAGTCCTTCACATTTGTTCAAGTTGGTCAAAATCTTGAAGAAAGTAAGGATGAAGACATGTCAGAGAAAATCAAAGGTAATTTTACTTCGAATATCCATAGAGCTCCTGTGTAAAATATATCTGATTTGTCCTCCCAGCTAGGTTATGAGTTTTACCAGGTCAAGATAGGTGCTTAATTTTTCTTTATTTTCCTTTATATTTCCCAGAATGGTCTTTTATAAAATATACCACCTAAGTAGTGTGAACTGTTCAATTTAATACTTTTGTAATTACCAAAAATGTTTTTAAAACCTATATATTATCTTACCTGACTAGATATTTAATAAATACTTATTGAATGAATAAACAAATACTAATGTCTACTTGTTGGTGTTTGAAAATCCAGCATATTAGTATTGTCAATAATAATTTTTAAAAATAAGCTAACCTCTGTTCATTATAGGTGTCCTAATTACATGTTCTTATCTTTCATACTAAACTGAAAGAAGGTTCCTTGGGGGTAGAATCACTAAGTTTTCTCAGTGTTGCATTCATTCATGAATGCATGAGTGAATGAATGAAGGTAATGTTTTAGAATGAAAAGAGTAAAAAGGTCTTTCAGGAGAAATTTATATTTGTATACAAAGAGTACATATTCTTTAAAAGTATTCCAGAGAACATTTTTCTATAATCATTACTGTTTATATTTCTGGTATTTATAGCCAGGGACTAGTATATTTTACTTAACAGAGATTTTCACAATATTTAACAATTATATATATTACTCTTTGAATCTACCCTTTTTATTACTTTAACAACTTAATTATTTAAAATAAAAATTAGTTTCACTATTTTTATAAGTATATTTTTATATACTTTTATAGCTTAAAAAATGAATCCTTCGAAAAGTATTTAAAAATACTTTTCAAGCACTTAATTTATATGTTATATAATATTTGAATATGAAATAAATATTTGAAAAATACTTTCTCCAGGTTTGTAAACATGTACAACTCCAATTATAAGGGTTGTGCTTGGTAGCGTTTTATTTAGCATCTTGTGATGTTTTTATGTGAGATGCCTTTCTGAATAAATTCTACTATTTTGTCTTAATTATAATGTTAAACTCTCCTAAAGCTTAGCCAGAGCAGCTATCCATATCTCTAGACCACATGCGCTTTTGAACTCCTTTGGTGAGCGATTGTGGAAGAATGAAAGACTGCCTTAATCCTTAGAACCAGTCTGCCTAGTAGCTAGGACCATGTGGTTCCAAGACAGATTTGCAGGCTAGTTGGGACACATCATGTGTTTAAATCACTAGCCACTAGTCCAGTGTTTCTTTTGTTGACATCTCACACTATATTTTGCATTCCTCCTGAATTCGTTTTCCCCTTTTAGTGTAAACCACAAGTCCCTTCCATTTTTCTGTTTCCTTTCTAATAAATAGCCCTTTCTTGTACCCACTTTCTCTTGGGAAATTTCTTCTGTATTTATTTTATCATTGGACTTTCACAATAAGAAAGTAAAATTGTTCTAATTTTTAAAAATTATGCATAGTTTGTTAACTAGTATGCTTTCTTTTAAGCACTCTTTTGAGTATGTATACCGGTTTCATTTTCTATAAACTTCAAGAAGACTGATATTATCTATTACCTATTTGGTATTGTCATGATATTATAAATAATGATATTTTCTTTGAAGACCTAATACAGTCTATAGAGTTATAGAAAGGTACTCAAAGCAACCAACAATGGAAAAAATTATTTAGGTGTTTGTATAGTTTTTTTTTTTTTTTTTTTTTTGCGGTACGTGGGCCTCTCACTGCTGCGGCCTCTCCCGTCACGGAGCACAGGCTCCAGACGCGCAGGCCCAGCGGCCATGGCTCACGGGCCCAGCCGCTCCGCGGCATGTGGGATCTTCCCGGACCGGGGCACGAACCCGTGTCCCCTGCATCGGCAGGCGGACTCTCAACCACTGCGCCACCAGGGAAGCCCAGGTGTTTGTATAGTTTTGATGGAGAGGGGAGTAAGAAAATTCTGGCTTTCTCTTCAGTCTATGTCCATGGCCTTAATTTATACTAAAAGCTCATGTGATTTTGCAGGTTCCTCCCATCCCCATATCTGGCAGAAATTATATATTGCATGATTATTATGTATAAACTGCCTTGTTAATGTTTGTGGGAGACGAGGGATGAGTAAAACATTTCTTAGAGAGCTTATAGTATGTCTTTTAAGCTATATTTCAAGCTTTTTCAGTAAGTTTTTATTAAAAGTACTTCTAAAGGCAAAAGATAGAGGATCTGAGACTTAAAGGAATGTGATGCAAGTTAGATATTACCCCGAAGTAACAATTTTATCCTAAAAATTCATGCTTTTTTTTTTTTTTTTCGGTACGTGGGCCTCTCACTGTTGTGGCCTTTCCCCTTGCGGAGCACAGGCTCCGGACGCACAGGCTCAGCGGTCATGGCTCACAGGCCCAGCCGCTCCGCGGCACGTGGGGTCTTCCCGGACCGGGGCATGAACCTGTGTCCCCTGCATTGGCAGGCGGACTCTCAACCACTGCACCACCAGGGAAGCCCCCCATGCATTTATTTTTAATTTATTTTATTTTTGGCTGCGTTGGGCCTTCTGTTGCTGCGCGTGGGCTTTTCTCTAGTTGTGGCGAGCAGGGGCCTCTTGTCTTTGCAGTGTGCGGGCTTCTCATTGCAGTGCCTTCTCCTGTTGCAGAGCACGGGCTCCAGGCGCGTGAGCTTCAGCAGTTGTGGCTCACAGGCCTCCAGAGTGCAGGCTCAGCAGTTGCGGTGCCTGGGCCCAGTTGCTCCGCAGCATGGGGGATCCTCCCAGACCAGGGCTCAAACTTGTGTCCCCTGCATTGGCAGGCAGATTCTTAACTGCTGCACCACCAGGGAAGCCCGCATGTTTTATATTTATTTCTATATTATCATATTTGTTAAAAGAAAAATTTTAATATCAGATAAAAGTGACCCTTCCAGGAGACACACCATGCTTATGCTATATCTTTCAGCATATCAAGTACCCCCCCAAGTTTTAACATAAAACCACACAAAAATAAAAAGAATAATAACCCACATTTAGTGAGAGTTTATAATATATTTAGCTAACAGAGTTGATATTAAATGTTTTACATGCATTAACTCATTTAAATGTCACCAGTCAGTCCTAAGAGGTGTGTAATATTCTGTTACACTGTTTTACAGATTAGAAAAATGAGGATTGTGTATCAGAATTATTAAATGGTTGAACCAGGATTCAGACCATGGACTAGCCAACTCTGGAGCACTAGTTCCTAACAGCCCTGTTATATTCCTTTCTGATGAGTGGATAGACAGATTAATGTTTATGGATGCCATTAAGCAAATATTCATTTTGCATTTAAGCCCTATTTTCCTACTTCCATGGTGATAGTATGATGGGTCTCAAAGTGTCTCTTTAGTAGATAGCTTTTTAGGAGACAAGCTGAGGAGTTAAGAGAAGGTGATGAAGGGAGGATTCTTTTATTGGGAACTTAGACAAAATATACTGACAGCCCTTGAATTTGCTATGAAATTGCTTTCATGTTGTGAATGAGGTAGAATAGCCAATACCTTTATAAGGAAAATATCTTTTATTTTTGTGTGGACATGTATCCCACCAAATAACAGTAGTCTCCTGTATCACAGAGTTACTATATTGCTCCAACATTGGCAAATCAAGGCTGTGGTGAAAATTTCAGACAGGAGTTTATGACATATTTGGTATTCTTTTGAACTCGGAATCCACTGTGTGTGTGTGTGTGTGTGTGTGCGTGCGTGCACGTGTATAAGAGGAAGAGGGAGAAGTAGGGAAGTAGGGATACTGAGAGGCAGGGAGAGAAGGAATGGGGATGAAAGAGTTGCTATGATTTGTACTTTATGAATGTGTATCTCTTGGAGCATGAGGTAATCCTGGAACAGGAAAATGTCAAGTAAATTGCTACAACTCTTTAAGTGAAAATTCCCCATGGACATCTCTCTGTGTTTGTTCATAATTATTTTTTTGTGAGACGATCACTAGAAAATATGCTAAGATAGGTTTTCTTTTGTATGACCTAGTCTCAGCTTTTTAATTACATAATGCATTTTTCTTTTCCTAAAAGAACCTCTGTATTACTGGCAACAGACTGAAGATGATTTGACAGTAACAATATCGCTTCCAGAAGACTGTACTAAGGAAGACATTCAAATACAGTTTTTGCCTGATCATGTCAACGTTGTGCTGAAGGGTCAGAGGTTTTTGGAAGGAAATCTCTATTCATCTATTGATCATGAAAGCAGTACATGGATAATTAAAGAGAATAATAGGTATTTTTATAGTTTTATTTATATTTAAAATTTTTATTATTTCACTTTTTCCTTGTTTTCTTTTTATACTTTTTGCAGTGGTTACATCATAGGGGAATACTACAATAGGTCCATCATTATTGCTGATTATTTTTCTTAAGATAGATTAAAAATGGAATTACTGTAGTTAAGATTAAAGATACTATTATTGTTTACATTATACTGCATGCTTTTCATTACCAGCTCTGGATACAATAATAATAATAACAGAAACAATAATAATAATAAATAGGTGAAATTGGTCATTTATTTAAATTTGTGCTTTTTAAACTTTTTGATAGAAATAATTTTTTTCTATTAACTTTAATTTGCTAATTAGTGGAATGCTACTCTGCAATATGAACCTCAAAAACGTTACGTGGACTGAAAGAAGCCAGAGACAAAAAGTATGCCCTGTGCAATTCCACATAAGTGAAGTTCTAGAACTGGCAGAACTAATCTATGGTGATACAAATTAGAACCGTGGTTACCTCTAGGGTGCAGGAGGATTGGCTGGAAAAATGCACAAGGGAACTTCCTGGATGTTTCACTATCTTTATTGGGTTATACGGGCGTATGCATTTGTCAAACAGTGAATTCTACACTTAAAATCCATGAATTTCATCTATAAATTACACCTCAGTAAAAAGAATATGTAAATAAAAGGTAAACAAAGGTTGTGTCTTGTAAGACTATAATCCTCTATCCCAACTACCATTCCTCTTTGTAAATCTATTGTTCCAGATACTTCATTCCCTAATCATTTGGATTAATAAAATTAGTCTCTTTCATTTTAGATCAAGTCTTAGTAATTATTGAATTCAGTGATGGTTAATGAATGGTATTAGGCACTTAATTTTTAAAATGGTCAGATTTTGTCAGAAGTGGATTAAAATTAGATATTTTTATTAAATATAATTCTTGGTTAGTGGTATTTTACCCATCCATGTGAGTCTTGATGTGACTCTGAATTCTGCTAGTCTAAGAAATATATATCTAGTTCAAAATTGTTTTTAAATTAAGCAGATACCTTGAAATCATTTTATTAATGGAGAAATTTGGTGACTTCGTTATACTTTTTAATGTATTATTTTAAAAACTCAATATCTGAAAGTTTCTTTCAAAAATATTTTATATTTCCATATATTCTATTTAAACATATCTTACTAGTGTGTGTGAGAGATGAGGATAGCATTTTTAAATTGGCAAACCAGCTGGAACATACTGCTAAATATAAGTCATCAAGCAGTAACCCAGCCAAGGTTTAGGAGAAGAGCTGGACCTTATGCAAATAGTTTCAGCATTTAACACATGAATATAGACCAGTGTTCTTTTTTCATTAAATTTGAGGTGCTTGATTACTATTTTATGTTACAAAAGATAATTACAGTGCTGTGTTGGTGGTATCATTGGTTTAAAAATACATGATTTTTTGGTACTTGATTATATTATTCATCTCATTTTCAGTAGTTAATGTTCCTTGTAGTTTTGGAAGGATTTGTTAACTAATCTGTAGTTTATTATGTATGGGGCTGTGTGTTCCTTTTTGCTTGGATGATAGGATGTGATTCTAGTTTTAAAATGTAGAAATGCATTTGTGCTAAAAGAGTAACATTGACTAGATATGCCAGTTTAATGATGGTTCATAAATTCTTTATAACTAAAACTGTACGAATTCTAACTTCTTTAGCTAGCAACTGACTGAGAACAGTATTTATGCATTCTGGTCACTAGGTACAAGTTCTTTAATAGTTATTTACATATATTTTTTCAGAGAGGCAGAATAGTGCAGTAGTGAAGAACATGGACTTGGAGCCAGACTGCTTTACTAGCTTGTGACCTTGGCAAGTTACTTAACCTCTCAGTGCTTTCTTTTCTTACTTGTAAAATGGAGATGATAATAGTGCTTACTTTATTTGTTTGTGGTGAGCAGTAAATGAGTTAAAACATGTAAAGTGCTTAAGATAGCACCTAGCTTACGGTAAGCATTAGGTAAGTACAAGCTGCTGTCATTATTTTTATTATCATCATTATCACCATCATCATCATCATTCAAGATTAGCTTTCTCCTTAGAAAATGTAACTAAGTCTGGGCATTATTGACCATGGTGGTAGTTTTTAATGCTAATGATAGGAACTCATTACATAAGAAAGATATTATTTTGTATAGTCTCTTAAAATACAAGAAGTTTTAGAAAATTTTAAAGTACTGTAATTAATTCATGAGGTAGTGATAATAGCCTTGAAAAAGAATATCTGATAAGTTTGCATGTTCTATTTGATAATTACGATAATAGTTACTATCGTGTTCTTGCAATTGTTTCCTTGCAATTGTGTTCCAGGGCATGGGTTAGTATGGCCCACGTGTACCAGAGATGGCACATGGAAAAGGTTGCTTTGCTGTGAAACAGCTACCACCAACATCACTTTTCTCTGTATTATAGCAACAGCCAGCTTACCTGGATTTCCTTTCCTATTCAAGAGGCACGTGGGCAACTCCCTATCCCATGTCCACAGTCTGCCCTGACTCAGCTCTCTCTCCCTTTTCTGCTGCATCAGTCCTTAATCTTAGCGTTCCCCGATGGGTCCTTTTTTTATTGATTTAACTAACGTTCCTGATATTTAGGTTAATAATATATTATGGCTACTAGTTTGTGATAATGAAAGTAATTGTTGGCTCCAGACACAAAGAGGTACCTTTAGTTATAGGCCCTTTCCAGTTAACTTTATGTGCCCCCCCGACCATTCCCCAGTGAAATAGCTCATAGATTCATGCTGCTTGCATTTTTCTATTACTGAAGATTGGTAACACACAGCACACCTGAACTGCAGCAGTACTTTCTGAGTGGTGTTACTCTTCTCAATCACTCCAGTGGTGCCTTCTTGTCTATTAAATCTATATTGTTTACCCTTGGATGATAGGTTTTCCATCATATGCAGAATGAAAATGAACATGATTTTTGGTAAAACATCCTCTGGACATCAGAGGGGTAATTTCTGTGGAAGATTCTTCTGTTTGGTATTGGTTGTATAACTTGTATAGTTGCTCAATGTAACATTACTTTTCTCATCTTAAACTTCTAGCTTGGAGATTTCCTTGATTAAGAAGAATGAAGGACTGACATGGCCAGAGCTGGTGGTCGGTGATAAACAGGGGGAATTTATTAGAGACTCAGCCCAATGTGCTGCAATAGCTGAACGTTTGATGCATTTGACCTCTGATGAACTGGTAAGCAATTGCAATAGCAGTGTGATTTCCCAAGGATCCAGAAGTATGTTATGTGAGGATTATACCATGTTTTTCAAACATTATTTTGCTTTTCCTAATGTAAGAGACAGATTAGGTATCACTGACTAGTGTTTGAATATGGCTTAAAATTCTAATATATATTCCTTATACTGTGTGAATATATATATGTGTGTGGGCATGTTGTACATATAGGGTGGGTGTGCATGTATGGTTGTATGTATATATGTATCTCTCGCTCTCTCAATATATGTACAGAGAGAAAAAAAGAGATATATAGTTGACACTTGAACAATGCAGTGGTTAGGGGACCAACCCTTGTACACTCAAAAATCCAAGTATAACTTTACAGTTGGTCCTCTGTATCTCCTGCTCACATCCTCAGATTCAACCAGTTGGATATTATATATTTCTGTAGTATGTATTTTAAGTGGACCTTTCCAGTTCAGACCCATGTTGTTCAAGTGTCAACTCTATCTCTGTGTATATCTATATTCTCTTTTAGAAGAATTGACTGACCAAAGCTGACAGGGACAGAAATTATGATTTTACCCCCTACCTTGCTAATAATCTACGTGTAGTCATTGAAATTTTCTGGGTACTCTTAGAATATCACAAGGGGTGTTTGTGTGTGTGTGTGTGTGTGTGTGTGTATACATATAAAACATACAACTGTGAGATTTTTGTTGAGTATGTTCCTACTCCGATAACATTTAAGATAATGTTAAGAATTTGAACAAATTCAGCAATACACTAGAACTTCAGTTATGTTCCTTTACCAAAACATATCAGCAAATTTAAAATGTCTGATTTATTGCCATCTGGAATTATAGCAATGAGGAAGATTATATAAAGAAGTATTTATACTCTAGGGTTAGTTGCATCCTAAGGTAGAAAGGAAAGATTAGAATATTGAAGGTAAATGTCTCTGACAAAAGAAAACATGACCAAAATGGAGAAACCAAGTTTCACATTTTCTAGCATAATGGAAAATTTCAAGAATCACTGGAATTCATATGTATGACTATAGAACTTTGATTTCATAGCCCTCTTGTTACAAGCCATGCAGACTGCATTGCTCTGTGTTCATTCAATATTCAGCAAGTATTTATTGTGATAGGGCTCTGGGGATATAATTATAGTGATAGTAGTGGGGGTTTGTTTTGAGATTGTAGATAATTGCTACTAACTGTCTTTTAAACTTGATGATTTCAAATGAATATTCATATATATGAGTAAGTTATTTATGCCTAAACACTAGTATGTTTGTTACTTTTAAAATAAAAAACAGAATCTTGTCATCTCTAACTGAAGGCAGTTTTGTGTTTTTCAAATCTTTATACTTTTTCTTGCCTTACTGCATTGATTAGAACCTCTAATCCACTGTAAAATAGGAATGGTGAATAGTGAAAGCAGATATTCTTGCCTTATTCATGATCTTGGGGAGAAGACTGAATTTTCACTATTAAGTATGATGGATTCTTTTTATCACTTTGAGGAAATTTCTTCTATTCCTAGTATGCTAAGGGTATTTATCATGATGGTCATGATGTATTATTATTCTTTTTTACATATCACTGGTTTGGTTTACTAATATGTTATTGAAGAGTTTTACATTTATGTTTGTGAGGAATATTGGGGCCTATGGTTATTGTTTTGTTTTGTGTTTTTACTGTCTTTATCTACTTTTGGTATCTGGGTAATGCTGAGTTCATAAAATGAGTGGCGAAGTGTTGCTATCTTCTATTTCTGGAAGAGATTGTGTAGACTTGGCATTATATGTTGTTTAATAGACGTTGCCAGTGAAACTATCTGGACTGGAGTTTTCTTTTTTGAAGGTTTTAAACCATGAATTTAATTTCTTTAATAGTTAAAGGATTATTTGGGGCATCTATTTCTATTCACTTTATTTTTCCTTTTTTTTCAGTTTCCAATTTCATTCATTTCTGTTATTACATTTATTTCTCTCTTTTGCTTGCTTTAGATTTATTTTGCTCTTTTTTGAAGGTGAAAGCTTAGATGATTGATTTTTGAACTTTCTCCTTTTCTAATGAAAGCATGTAATGCTATACACTTCCTTCTAAATACTACATTAGCTGCATCCCCAACATTTTCTGCCTGTTTTCTTAATCCCGTTACTGATTGATTTGATTTGATGCTGGATTTCAGTTTTTTGCATGGCTGGTTTATTCTTTGTTTGTTCTTAGTCCTAGGGCGGAACTTTTCATGAATCTCAACTGAAAGTCTGGAATGTTTACCAGGGTTTCTCCTCCTGTGTGGGCCCTGATCTCTAATTTTTGTCTCCCAAGCACTTTGATAATTATCAAAACTCAGCTTTTTAGCCCCTTATCCTCTGCTTTCCACTTGTCTTTTTCAGCTCAGCTTGAAATAACAGATAACTCTAGGAAAGCAGCATAGTCTTGGGTTCTCCTTGCTATTCCCTTTTCTCTATAATCTTGTCCTGTTAAATACTGGCTGCTTTGATAGTCCTTAGCTTTTAATTTTTGCCCTCCCATCTCTAACATATGGGTAATTGAAAGGAGAAGGGAGGGAGGAGTGGGGAGGGTGCTTTCTTTTCTGCTGGATGTATATATCTTCTTGAGACACTGTGACAAAATGGCCCCAGCTAATTGCTGGAATTACCTTCTCAGCCAGCCACTGCAACCAGAATTGTTTCATTGGTACTTAGAAAGGAGAAGACAGCCACAGCTAGCTGGGTGCTTTCTTTTCTGCTGGATGTGTATATCTTCTTGAGATACTGTGACAAAATGGCCCCAGCTAATTGCTGGAATTACCTTCTCAGCCAGCCACTGCAACCAGAATTGTTTCCATTGATACTTAGAAAGGAGAAGACAACCCCAGCTAGCTGGCTCCATATCCCAGCTGGAAAATGGACAGATTTGATAATGTCTGTAACTTCCAGACATTTAGTTTCACAGACTCTCTGGTCCTTTCATTAGGTTCTCAGTAACATGACTGCATTTTGGCAAACTAGTTGTGTGGACATTTTATCAGTTGTTATAGAATTGTATTTCTGTTATATGCATGTGAATGTATAACTTATCTTTTAAGTGATCCTTTTTTACTCTTTGAGGGATATAAGACCAAACAGTGATTTTTGCATTCAAACAGTGAACATATTAAAATTACTTTAATGATTCCATTTATCTCTACTTTTGGCATATTTTTCACGATACCTCTGTGTTTTTGTTTGGGTGGATATTTGTGTGTGTGTTTAGTGGTTGTTCTAGAGTTTATAGTATAACATCTTCACCTTATCACCATCTATCCTCAAAATATATCACTTAACTCATAACTTAAAAACTTTACAGTATATTTCCATTCCATCCTTTGTATTATTTTTGTCATTTTATTTCTGTGTTGTAAACTTCATGATATGTTATTATTTTAACTTTAGTCAGTCAGTTTTCTTTTAAAGAGATTAAAAATGCAGGGTGAAAAAGCCTTATATTGATCCAAATATTTGTCATTTCCTCTTTTTTACATTCCTTTGTGTTGATTCAGATTGCCATCTTGTGTCATTTTTTTCCTGGCTGAAGAACTTCTTTTGTCATTTCTTGCAATGTAGTTCTGCTGGATAAATTCTTTCAGCTTTTGTTTGTCTGCAGAAATACATGTCTTCCTTGTCTGCAAAAATACTTGAGTTCCTTCTTTTAAAGCGATTTTTGTTAAGGGTGTAAGTCAGTGCTGACAGGGTTTTTTTCCCTTTCAGAACTTCAAATATACTCCATTGTTTTCTGGCTTGTGTAGTTTCTGATGAGAAGTCAGCTGTCATTTGTAATTTTGTTCCTCTGTCAGTAATGTGATTTTTCCCTCCTGTAACCACTTTTAAGATTTTCTCTTTATTACTTGGAGAATAATTTCATTTTTCTCATTTTTAGCAATTTCATTGTAGTGTGACTTGCTCTGTGTTTTTTTTTTTTTCTCTTAATGTTTGTTATGCTTGGGGTTCTTTGACCTTCTTTAATCTGTAGGATTATAGTTTTCATCAAATTTGAAAAAAAAATTGCCATTATTTCTTCAAAATTTTTTCCATTCTTCTTGCATTCTTCCAAATACTCATATGTTAGACCATTTGATATTGTTCCACAGGTCACTAGGGTTCTCATCTTTTGTGTGTGTTTTTATTTTTTGTCTTCTCTGCTTCATTTTTAGATAGACTCTATTACTATTTTAGATAGACTGTTACATTTTAGATGGACTCCAACTCACTGGTTGTCTTTTCTTCTGCAATGTCTAATCGGCTGTCAATCCCATCTAATATTGTGTTTTCCATTTCAGATATTGTATTTTCATATCTAGAATTTCAGTTTAGTTCTTTTTTATATCTTCCATATTTCTCAGTGTGTTTGTTTTTCTTTACATCTCTGAGTATATAGAACAAGTTTATAATAGCTGTTTTCATATCTTTCTCTGCTGATTCCATCATTCTTTTTTGTGTCTGTTTTTAAGTTTTTATTGGTCATGAGTCTAAAATTTAATATTTAATTATTGCTGTAATCTTAACATTGTTGAGTATGAAGAAATTCATTCTCTTGTTGTTATTTCTTTTATGGTCTAAGAATCCAAATCCAGATAAAGGTAAACCTCCTTGTAATGCTCAAGAGTTAGAAGAATGTGATATTTTCTTTGAAGAGAGCTCCAGTTTATGCAGATTTGATGGCAGTACATTAAAAACTACTCATGTGGTAAGTTCTTGATAATGATATTTCTAAAAATTTGTGAATAAATAAAAGTTATTCAGATGAGATGATAATTGATTGACTAAATACTATTTTGCAAAGACAGGTTGATTGTCAGTTACTGGCTGTGACGTAAATTTCTTCACTCCCTAAAGTAGCCATCATTTTATATCGTCATCCCTAATTAAACAATGTTGTATGTTTGGCAGTACTACATATTGATATCTTTCAGTGGGCTTTTTTTTGTGCAGTTTTTCTATGTGTAGTTGTGCCTGTAATATATAACAACTTAATATCTAACTTTCCTCTCACTCACTGTCCTTTCCTAACTTTTTTTGGATACTTAACATTTTTTTAACTAATGGCTGGGTATTACAATACTCAAAGGTGTTATAAAAATGAGCATTTTTTTGATTATACCTATGTAGACAAATGAGGTGGAATGGCATAAGACCAGTGGGTAGAAAGAGGTATCATTCAAGCTTGTACCAAAATTACTTACTCTTATGATTAATTTCTGCATCTGCTTTGCTCTCCTATAACTAACTAACTCCAATAATTTCTAAAAAGCACAGAGATGACATTTTGCTTACCACAGTGTACCTAACACCCACCAAAGGTTCTGATTCTGATAACTGCTTAAAAACATTTTTAGACTGATCTCTTGGTGACAGTCATAGAAATAGAAATTGTTTCAGGTGCATCTTGGATCTCAAGAAATTTGCATACACTTTTATGTTTCCCTTCTTTGTCAATCACTCCTCTAACTGAAGAGTAAACAAAGTTCTTGGTCATATTATTTTATGCAATCTGGGCATTGATCCAAAGCCCAGATGATCAAAGTCGTTAGATTTTTTTAGGCGTTTTGCTTCTTAGATATTGTTTAGTTCTGACATAATCCCATAGATAACTCCCTTAATGGTGAGTGAAGAGCCATTACACAATTACTCTTACTTCCTTGGGTTAGATTTTAGAAAATCATTCTTAAGTGTGACTGATGAAAGACTCTTCAATCTGACTAACTGTAGATTATTTATTCTTGAAGAATCTGGCCTTTCTTCCTAAAGTTATAGTCTTAGGAGCTATAACTTTTAGGTACTGTTTCCTGCCTAACTTTTATAGAGAAGACACCTGATCTTAGATGTCGTAAAATGTTATTGTTTAAGCTTAGCTTCTCCAAGAATTTCATTTCATTTTAGTATAGCACTACTAAGTAGTACTGATCAAGTAGTTTAAGGTTGGTCATTGAGAGGCACCTAGTTAATGATACCTCTCTTTATTTGCTATGTTTAAGCATACTAAAAATTAAAACCAAGGAGTAACAGAAGGGGACCAAAGTAAAACATTTGTTACTTACAAATTAGGGTACAAAAGCCCCATCTGCTGACTAAATCCTAGAATTTAGCAAATTTAACCTTAGTCACAGGCAGTGCCAAACCAGATCTGCTGACCCTGGTGGAGCGGTGGAAACATCTTATTCCCTGAGGCCTCTAGCTCCTTAGAGGAAGAAGTTGATACTACTACTTACATACTTATGTAAATATATACTCTCTTCTGTTTTTCTAAGCTTTGTTGAAGTTCTCACTTTGTTCATTCTTCTCCCAAGCTCAGTGGGCATCTTTATGACCATTATTTTGAACTCTTTATCAGTTAAATCACTTATCTGTTTCATTAAGGTCTCTTTCTGAGGTTTTATCTTATTGCTTCCTTTGAAAGATATTCCTCTGTTTCTTCATTTTCCTTGACTTGCTGTGTTGGTTTCTATCCGTTAAATAAAATAGCCATCTCTCCCAGTAAAGACGTGGTCTTGTATAGGAGATGAACCTTATTGTTCAACTCTGCCCCTAGTTCTTAGTTGCCTCTCAGACTTTGTGATTGTCTGAGCAGCTTTTTTTTTTTTTGGCTCCCCGTAATTGAGGGTGTGCCAAGACCTGTTAGTGTCCCAAAACGGACGATCTCAGTCAGCACCTGAATTCAGGCTGGTTGGAAGCCAGACCCTCAGGCATCAGGTTTTGAAGTACACAAATGTGTACAGTCCTGTGGGATCTCAAACATAAGTCAGCCCCACTGTCCACCAGAGCCAGATGGTCTAGAGGTATACCCTGGGCGACAGTCGCAAAAATTGGGGCACCAGATGAGTATGCAAGCTCCTTTCCTGGAGATACCAGTGACTTAAGAGTAAGGCAGAAGGAATGTGCAAAGATGGCAGTCATTGGCCTCTGTCCACACAGAGCAGCAGCACCTCAGTAAGCCTCTAGGTGTGTGTCACACCAGAAACCTACCACTACTCTGAAGCTTTAGGACAAGCAGAGAGGGTTTTTTCACAGAAAGACTGGGGGTGTGTTTCGGTCTGCCATCTCCGTTGAGCCCTGTAGTGGTAGTCAGCCAGGAACTGTCTCTAATTGCTATAGTCCCATGGCACCAGGAATGCGAGCCTTACTGGCTGCCAGAACCAGGCAATCAGTGAGCATCCCCTGGGCAGAAACCACAAAAATCAGAGCACCAGATGTGTGTACAGGGTTCCCTCTGGGAGATTACTGGTGCTCTGAAGTGAGGCAGAGGAAGAGTGCAAACGATGGCACTCACTTCCTCTCCCTGAAGTATATTTCAGATGTGTGTTGAATTAGATGCTTGCCCCCTCCTTCATGGGAGGAGGTGAGTTCAGTATCTTTCAGTCTTGAACCAGTATCTCAATTGAGTTAAATTTGAGGCCAGAGTTTCTTTTTATAATGGTAAGCACTTTGATTTTTCTATCATTAGTCATTTTTTATGAATATAAGGCAAAGATTCAGTGAAGTAAAAATGCATAAACATTGATGTTTGGGAATAAGTGGAATGGTAATAACTGAAACAACAATTAAGTACTAAGTCCATCTTCTTTCTGAAGACAGATTTGGGGACTTCCCTGGAGGTCCAATGAAGGGGGTGCAGGTTCGATCCCTGGTCGGAGAACTAAGATCCCACGTGCTGTGCGGTGCGGCCAAAAAAATAATAATTAAAAAAGTAAAAATAAAGACAGATTTGGTAGGTCAGTGTATTGTATGAAAGTCAAGGTCTGTCTGGTCAAATGTAGCTTGTTCAAAAATAGTTTCTTGGTGTACCTAAGAGGATACCAGTTGGCATGTCATGGGGGAAGGGAATGAAGGAGGCGCCAATATTGTGGATATTCAGTGGTACATCCATTTTAGGCATCAGATAGTACTATATGGGTAATTCGTACTCCTTTCTGCAATGTTTACTTCAGATTTATCTTCTTGATATCATTTGTCATGACTTTGGACAATTTGAAATTACCTGTACATGGAAAGGTCAGTATATGTCCTTAATTTAGAAGAAAAAAAAATACTGTAACAAAAAGGTCAGAACTCTATATTGTAAATGACAGATTTTCCAAAATATAAAATTCCCTGAAAGAAATGTAAATTAGGGTTAGAATTTGGCATTTGGAAAGTAAAATGTTAAATGAATATATGCAGCAGCAGAATAAAAGAGAAATATTAAATTTCAGAAGTGAAGGAGAAAAGTAATAAGATGTGATCACTGGGGTGTAAAGCTCAAATCAGAATTTAGATACAGTTGAAGATGAATTATTTTTGCTTTTTTCTAGAGCTGTGTTATCCAAAATATTAGTCACTAGCCACATAGCTTTTGAGCACTTGAGATGTGGCTAGTTTGTTTGAGATATGCTGTAAGTGTAAAATACACAACCAGATTTTGAAAACTTAGCATGAAAAAAAGAATGTGAAATATATTATTAATAATGACTTTTATATGAATGTTCATGTTGAAATGATAGTTGGTTATGTTTGGTTAAGTAAAATACATTTATTAAAATGAATATATCCCATTTCTCTTTTTTTTTTCTTTTAACATCTTTATTGGGGTATAATTGCTTTACAATGGTGTGTTAGTTTCTGTTTTATAACAAAGTGAATCAGTTATACATATACATATGTTCCCATATCTCTTCCCTCTTGCGTCTCCCTCCCTCCCACCCTCCCTATCCCACCCCTCCAGGCGGTCACAAAGCACCGAGCTGATCTCCCTGTGCCATGCGGCTGCTTCCCACTAGCTGTCTACCTTACGTTTGGTAGTGTGTATATGTCCATGACTCTGTCTCGCCCTGTCACAGCTCACCCTTCCCCCTCCCCATATCCACAAGTCTGTTCTCCAGTAGGTCTGTGTCTTTATTCTTGTCTTACCCCTAGGTTCTTCATGACATTTTTTTTTCTTCTTAAATTCCATATATATGTGTTAGCATACGGTATTTGTCTTTTTCCTTCTGACTTACTTCACTCTGTATGACAGACTCTAGGTCTATCCACCTCATTAAAAACAGCTCAATTTCGTTTCTTTTTATGGCTGAGTAATATTCCATTGTATATATGTGCCACATTGTCTTTTTCCTTCTGACTTACTTCACTCTGTATGACAGACTCTAGGTCTATCCACCTCATTAAAAACAGCTCAATTTCGTTTCTTTTTATGGCTGAGTAATATTCCATTGTATATATGTGCCACATCTTCTTTATCCATTCATCTGATGATAGGCACTTAGGTTGTTTCCATCTCTGGGCTACTGTAAATAGAGCTGCAATACTTAAAATTATATATTTGCCTTGCATTTTATTACTGCCAGACAACACTGATTTATAGAGATCAAATTAAATATAGCCTTGAACAATCAAAAGATGATAGGATGTTTTTAAAAAATTACAGTGAATTTTGCAGATCAGGTGGTATTCATCATTTACTGCTTAAAACATGAGAATGAAACAGTTGAAAAGAATATTTGTAACTTATAAACTCACTGAGACAGTAAGCAGAGGAAGTACAAACAGGAAGTAATTCTTTTAGGTTAATGTCACTAAGAAAGGTAGTAGAAATGGCGTGTATTCAGTATACTAATTCCTTTAAAAAGATATTAAGAATTAATGTCAAGGATCAGAGTTTATAGAGGAAGGAAGTACATTTAGAAAGTATCTAAATCAGTGGTTCTCAAGCTT